GAGGGCACAGTTTGTAGTGTAAAGTGCTTTGAGTATCTTGATAAGATAGAAAGATGATATATAAGTACAGTCCATTTACCATTTACCATTCTCTATCCAGATGGGCAAGCCTGGAAAACCTTCAGATGAAGGTGACCCATAGACATCCCAATCAGATGACTGAACCACCTCAAATAACTACTTTTCAAGCAGAATAACTTCTCCAAGCTTCCCCTGGATGACAGAGCTCACCTGATCTCTAAGGATGATTCTGGCTACCCTACAGACAGATCGTAGTTTGGGTGGTTTGTACCAACAGGGATCAGCATGCCCAGGGCCTCACATTCGCTTGCCACCTGGTTTACATTGTAACTGATGTTGAGGGGTCTCCCCACAGGTGGTGGGTCATTGGAGATAGGGACTTCATGTACTTTGTTCAGGTTTGACCTGCCGGCACTTGCTAGAAAACATGCCTTGAACCTGACTCGGAGGATGCCCTTGTTTCCTTGATATGGGTGAGGTTGCCTGTATAATGCAGTTCTTTCAAATTAAAGGAGCTTTTTAAACTGCTCTTAGTGTGCATTAACACTAGTCCTGTTTAGGCCATTTTAATCGAATTCTAGTCCGTTTGCCTAGAAAGTCTGGTTAGTTTGGGGTGGTGTGAACGTGCAGTCGAACTCTGATGAGGACCAAAAAAGCAAACTCTGGTCCGCCTAAAAACCTAGGTCTCGGTTCGGTTGAAGTGAACTCTGGTGCGGTTTGAATGTAGTGTGAATGCAAGCAGGCCGAAGACTGCTCCAAAAGCAGGAAGTGGACTAAAGCGCAGGACAAACAAATGCACATATCTTATACCTCATATGGAGCCGTCAGCCACCTTGTGTGAAAAACAACATTCTCCATGGTCTTCTGCCTCATCTTCCACTCATGCTGAGTCCATTGTTGAAAAATGTTTGCTTGGCACATGAGCCACAGACAAAACAAAAATCCTAAAACTGCTAAAATTGGACACCACTCCATTTTTGTTTTTATTTCCAGAAGTAAGTTGCACTCAGTGTCGTCCTCAGAGGTATTCATGTTGTTTCCTTCAGTAGTTCTTGGTGCAGCACCACCACAGGTGAGGGTGGGAACAGGTTGGCTTGATTGACTCATCAATGTGAATGCGAACCGCACCAGCTGAAAATGTAAACAAACGTTCTGAATTTTGGTCCCCAATCAAACCGAGTCTACCCGACTAAAAGGTGTGAAAACGACCTTAGTCTGACCTCTCTCCTGAAGCCAGTTTGTCATGGAGCATCCCAAACAACATAACCCTCAAGATTACAAGTCTACTCAAATCACCAGACCATGTTCAGGTGACAATTCTGAGAAGAGGTAGACAGATACAAACTGAACGCACAAAATGTAAGTGAGACTGAAGCTACATCAGCAAACTGTTTGGTCTGCTTTTAAGGCTGTTCATACAATCTTTGAACACATTTGATTAGAGAAAACTACGCTAAAGGGTGTGAAATTGTTCAATATAGACATAATTCCTGGGGTGGGGGACTGGGCTGTGTGTCTCCTGCTGAGATGATATTTGATCTATGAATTGGCTGCAGTAGACATTTCACTTGAAATCACTCCAGCACGACAGATTTCAAACCTTTGTGCCTAGCAGCAGTACAAGCTCTGTCTTTTACTGTCAGACGCACGGCAGCTCTCTTGAGTTGAATCTTGAGATTCAGGTCTGCCTCTTGCTTCAAACAAGAGTACATGTTTGAGATGAGGGATGCAGTCAGATTGAGTCTGAGCCTGTCTGAAATGTCGATAAACTAATGGTCTCACTTCTATTTTCTTGAGACCGAGTGGAAGTGAAATTTGCTGTTTTGGAGTGATAACATTTCCTAAAAGCTTTGGCCCTGTTTCCACGATACCATGTTTGAATGAAAACATTGGGTTTTGGCCATTTTGTACTTGTTTTCTCTGACACCAAACTATTTTGAATCCAGAACTCAGAGTGGAGGTTTTTGGAAATGCCTGGCAAAGGTGTGAAATTGCACATGTGCACTACTGTTTTTCTGCAATTGCGTGAGTAAATACGATAGCTCTTATGGATAGCAGAGTGCTGTTTGTGCTGCTCGCTCTTTTCATTTAACAGTTTATCTGACCATATCTGTGTTACACCATCCCATGGGTCAGTGGAAACGCATTGTCACATTTTACGAACACAGAATGGTCCTGTAGCTGTTTTTATGCTCATTTCTGTCTGAATGGACAAGTCGTTGAAACACTAAAATCACAGCTCCAGCTATTTTTGTGGTCTCGTCGAAACAACAACTGTGATCACAATCAACACAGTTTTCTCAGTCAGTCTATGAACATTTCCAGGAGATTGTTCATGGGGCCTCAGAGTTTCACCTCACTAATAGAGCATCTCACCTCTCATAAAAATGAATGAGGTCTAACTAGTTGCTTTGTGAAATCCATTCCCTCTCCCCTGTACTGCACGTGTCTGGCTCAGGGGTGCAGTCAATGAGGAAGCAAAGAATCTGCATGTTTCCCAACTTAAGGCCAGCTGCTCTCAGTAAATGCTTCTAAATAAGCTTCTTTTCCCAGTGAATTAGGCAGTCTGCATTGATACTGTGGTAATTCTTTACAACAAAAAGAACATATGTAGCTGCAAGGGCTTTTTCAAGGAATACAAATTAACTCCACTTGCTACACTCTGCAAGTTAGAGATATTTACAGCAGCTTGGAAGTTAAAACAAAAAAAAAAATGAACAGGAGCTCATTACAGAACCAGCGATGTGTGACTCAATGCTGTTTTGACTGAATGGTAGTTATCAGTGGGCTACTGTGATAAAGCTCAATTAGAGCAGCATGCAGTGACTGAGCAAAGGTAATCGCTGGGCGGAGGGCAAACTAAACATGGAGACACGGATATTGACACCAAACAGAAGACAAGTGAGGGATTCACAAAAGAACCCGGAGTCGTGGAGAGCAGCTAATGAGCTGACATGATTCACACTTGGTCTCCCCCCACAGAGAGCTCCATCCTGAGCAGAGAGGGTGGGGGGAGCAAGGGGTGCATGTTTGCACCAACACATTCCATGACGCAGCCTGTCAGAGCCAGGAGGGTAAGAAGGTCTGGGTTAGGAGCTTTGATTTTAAAGGCAGGGTGAAGAGAAAGTCTTTTCTGTCCTGTCCAGAATAATTTTGTTTATTTTTAAGCAAAGGAAAAGATCTCCAGTAAACTAATTAAAAGTGTTTATGGTGTTTTAAAAATAAAAATAAAGGCTCTACTTCATTTCATTTTACTGACATTGTTATAAAGGACGTTTTTGAGTATGAATAAAACTAAATTCAAAGTGTACGAGGCCAAATGATCTGTAAATACTTTGAAATTAAAGTGTTTCTCTTGCTGATCTGGAGAGGCAGTGCTGATGGATTTATGTAAAGCTGTTATTCCTGAAGCATGCTCAATAATCCAGGGAGAAAAATCTAACAAGGTTGAGTCAGGTCCTCTGGACGGATTCTTCTTTGTTGAAACGTTTTGTCCTTCATACAAAAGACCCTCAGTCTGAGACACTGCAACCAACTCAGTCTTCAATATCACCTTCGCATAGCAGACCAACCAGAACTAGCTGTTCACATTCTTCAGACTATCAGCTTAACAATAGATGTTAGCACCTGATGGCCGCTTGCTATTCACGGGGGGCTGAGTGATACTAGCAGTAACAGCATTGTAAGAGGGTGATACCGTAGTTGAACACGGAGGCCTCCGCCCCTGTTCAATTGTTTTCCTCGCTCAAACTGGTTGATCTACTATTATAAAACTGAGTTTGTTACAGTGTCTCAGACTGAAGAAGCCTTTTTGGATCAAAGACACAATGTTTCAACAAAGAAGAATCGGTCCAGAGGACCTGACTCAACCTTGTTAGATAAAGCTGTTATTATTGTGGCTCAATGGCAAAAGTAAGAAAGGGCAAAAATGTTTCTGACTGCATCTGTAGATGTGTGAGTTTGTGTGTCTGGCTGTTACTGAATTATCTCATGAACCACAGGACAAATTTTAACCAAACTTGAGGAATGAAATCACTGAAAGTACATCTACAACTAACATTTGGAGTCAAGCTCTTTCAAGACAGCTGCCATAGTCAATTGACCTTAGTCAACACAGAAATGACTGTGAGTCAGTCAGTTTTACAGATATTGAGCTAAAATGTGCTGTGATAGTAGAGAGCCATTCACAACACACACTCTGAGCATGACATAATAATAATAAAGTGCTATGTGTTGTCATCATTGTATGTTCCCATACAAAGACAAAATTGTCTCTCTGCATTTAACCCATCGCACCTGGGATACACCCAGGTGGAGCAGTGGGCAGCTATGTAGGTGACTGGGGAGCAATTCAGGATTGGGTGTCCTGCTCAGAGACATCACGAGATGTGCAATGACTGGGGATTGAACCCGGGTTGGCTGCCCTGCCCCTACACCATCTTGGCCCCAATCATTACATGCTTTACAGAGTTTGCCCAAAATGTGTAAAACTTTCTGATTTCTCATCTCGGTCTTAAACTCTGCCATGAAAGGCAGAGGATGATATGCATTCCTTCAAGGTAAGCTAGGGCTTTAATATTTGAACTATTAAGGTGGAAAATAATTATCCCGAGGACTCATTTCAGTCTGTGAGAGGCTGCAATGACATATTAGTACTTTTGACAAAACTTTATCATATAGTTGCTTTCGTGCCTGAGAATAATTAACATTAATATTTGTTTTTCCATTTTTCAGACTTTCAAACCACTTGTAATGTGTTCTGAAAGTCCTGCAAACACTTTAGTTTCGTCAGTGGCAGTGTGTAGGAGTATCTGAATGGTAACTCTGCAGTGTGCAGGCTTTGAGCTGTCAAATATCTTCACTTATTAAAATCTCTACTAAACATCCAGCCAGACTTTTAAACCTCTCCGGCCGCTGATTGGTCAGTCCGCGGTCACGTGACAAAGTGCAGTCGCTGTGCCGTGCCTCGAGCTAGCGCTGAGTGGAGCCTGTCTGCCAACAGCTTCAGCAGCGGCTCTATCTGGATCCTACTTCACTCACTGACAATTAAAGGAGGCCCCCCCTTTTTCTTCTCATTTTCGAGGATTATCCTTCACCATGGGCGACAAAAAGAGCCCTACCAGGTAAGGCGACCGTCCGCCGTCGATTCGGCCTCTGTTGGTTTTGTTTCGGGATCGAGATTCGGATGCGTTTCTCTCGCGCAGAGCTCGTTTCTCCTGTTTTCACTTGGTATGCCACAGCTAGCTAGAATAGTGCAGTCACTATGGCGGCTTCTCGCTCCCTACTACCCAGTCACTTCACCAGACAAAGAGAAATGTTTCCGAGGAGACGCCTGCCAGTCCTTCTAACGCTCCTCCGGTTCGACGAGACCTTCTGATGGGTCAATGTCGAAATGGGCTTTGTTTGATACTGGTTTCGTCAGTCGACCTACTGAGCGTCGGTACCAGTTTTTTTTAGCAGCGCTTCCCTGCCTGCTGTTAGCCTAGCTGGCGATACAATCGGACGGTGTGGACAGTCGCCCGCCTCGCCACCAGCCGAACTGGAGCGGGGTTCGAACCGTCAAATGTTAATGACAACCCGCCATGCTTTGTGCTGCCTTCAGCGGCTCGCGCGTGAAGCGACGGGCAGCGTGCGCCGCCGTCTCCCGTGTTGTTAATTAACGAAACGTGTCGGTGGTATTTCTTAACAGAACTTGTCATTTTGTGTCGTTTCGTAAGGCCGAAAAGACAAGCCAAACAGAGCGTCGACGACGGCTACTGGGACTGTAGCGTGTGCACCTACAGGAACACCGCCGAGGCGTTCAAATGCAGCATCTGCGATGTGAGGAAGGGCACATCCACAAGGTAACAGCTCCTCTCTCTCCTCTGTGCTCCTGCAGCAGCCCTGCATTCACGATGACAACTTTGATGACCACACTGTTTGTGTCCGTGCGGATGAGGACTTGTTGATTGTGAATCTTGCACATTCTCTGTGGATGATCGCACACCTCGTTTTGCTTCTTTTTTTTCCTGCATCAGTCTAGGTAGGCTGTCCGCTTCTCTTGGCAAAGAGGGGTGGGGTGGTGGTGAGGGGGGAACCATACTTTATGGTTGTTGCAAGGCTTCAGTGCATCTACAGCATCACCAAGACGCAGATTTTTCCCTTTCAGACAGTGAGAGTGAACGCATGCCACCTACCTGTAGGATTTCAGAGGATGTTTAATGGAAGTGTCAGCCAGATTGATGAGACATAAGGGAGTAATCGGGTTGCATGTTTGAACGGCTTTTCTTTCTCATCAGGTTGAAGGGACTCGTTGCAAACTAAAAAAATCCAACATAAATAGGTTATCCTGGTCTTTATCAAACGGTGCAGTTTGTAAGGGTTTAATCCAGCAGTTTTCCCAAAAGGTTAACGTGTAATTCTAAAATGAAGGTGCACGCTAATGGTAAACAAAGCGCTCAGCTGAATCCACTGAAAACCACGTGGAAGCTTGAATCACGCCATTGACCTACATTAGGTAGGTAGGTAGTAGGTAAACAAATATGGTGGAATCAGGCGAGCGTAGGATCAGGGAGAAGATGTTGAAATGAGTGAATCTGCAGCCAAACGCAGAAATAAGAGAACTAGAACCACTGAACTGCTCCTCACTGTTGCCGACCTATTTTCAGTCACTTCAGCTGTTTCTAAAGGTAAACAAACACGTTGTAGCTGGCGTCAGGTTACAAGTTCTGCTTGCAGAATTTTATTGTAAATACAAGACCATCAATATGAGTAAAAATTGGGTTTCTTACAGTTTTATTTTTAAACGGTCTTCATAGCATTGCAGTGGTCACCTATAAACCTCCACCTGACATGACATTAACATTTATCTGTTTTATAGTTTTCTAAAAACTTGACTCATTCCCAGAGCTGTGTGGTGGTTCCCCTGCTGTTTATACTCAGATCCATCCCCAATTGATCACATCGTTGATGGTAACTGTGTTGTGTGTCCCCAGGCATTTCCCCTCAGGTTAATTCAGAGTAAGTTTTGTGATGTCAGCACAGGCTTTTGTCTTATGGGAAACAAAGATGAAACCGTCGTATAATCTGATGGGATTCCCTTTCAGTTTTATATTCTGTGACGACGCCTCCCTCTGTTCTGAGGAATGGTTTTGATGACGAAGTTGCTTGTGCTACAGTTTTCTCACTTCATTTGTTGCACAATGAGACGGAGAGAGACCAATGAGTCATTTGTGGCTTTGTCAACAAGTCCCTTGAACTCTAACCTTTTTTTAGTTGTGGTTTTTACAATAAGTGGCTCGACGTAGAACCCCCAGCAACACCGCACACTGGAGCGCAACGCTGCTTTACGGAGAATCCAAAAGCTCAAGTTCAACCTTATTTGTAAGGCTCTCCCCTCCCCCATGATTTTTTCCCAGCAGTATGTAGCTTAAGACCACAGCTGACAGCGTTGACTGAGCTGGCTGCAGAGAAGCAGGATGCAGAAACAATCATGTCATGGCAATCCTGTCCGTGCGCTCTAGCAACAGGCTGGTTGCCTCTTTTTTAGCGTATGGGGAGCACATGACATCACTGGAGTGTCTTTCACTAATTCCTGTTTGATCTGAATTGTTAATGTTTGATTAATGCAGTTGTGTCATTGTGGAGCTGTCTTATTTTAATGAGGACTAATTAGCCATCTTTTCCTCGTTGTTTGATGTATTCCAGCAACATGCTCCTAGCTCAATGATTCACACTTCGAGGCTTTGTGTGGATATTTGTCTTGGTCCTTTTATCTGTGGCTCTGCAGTGATTGTGGGTTTATGCATGAGGCTCCATGTTTGCTGATCGAACATCAGTAGGATCAAATTTTAGGTCCATTTTCTTTAGATAATTGGTTTTTGCTGCTGTGATTATGCGCTCTGCTGGTGAGGATGTTCACATGCTTCTACCATGACTGGCAAAAGTAGATATCTGGTTGAAATGAAGAAGTCACATCCTGATCTGAAGTCACTGTTGGTATTTTAAAAAGAGAGCTGCAGATGAAGCTGCATCCCAGTCCAGCCTGCTGGTCCAACAGGTAGCAGGTTTCACATGCCCATACAGTGAAGTGCTCACTCACTATCTTTTGAGTCAGAGACAGCTAATCTGTCCTTTAGTCAAACTGAATATCAGGTCAATATTTCCATCGCTGCACTCATTAAAGTCATTAAAACTGCATCTGTTTTTTCAAATGGCAATGAGGATTACAAAGCTGACATGATTCATGGTATTAACAGATAGTATTTGCACTCTGTGGCTGGAATCACACCTTCCCCCCCTGCCAGCAGTGGATAAACTGGATACCTGGCAGTTATGCAGCTCCGATTTGTGCTAATGAAGGCAAGAATGTGTGTTAACAAGAGCAGAACTCTGGCAGTGGCATCAGCATGCAGAGAGAGGCCCCGCGCTCTCAACGCACCTGTTGACCCAGTCCAGCTCGCTGATGAAACGTGATCCCCAAGTAAGCTTCGTCTAGCCTTCTTCTGGACCCTTAAACAAGAGTACACGGGGCTTTTTTTCACCTGACCTCACTGCTAATCTACAAGTCCGAGCAGTCCAAGTGTTCAGCCTCTGCTTTCAGTGGTAAAAGGAGAAGGGCTCACATTAGTGTCCTCTGTGAGGGGGAGGAAGAGGAGGGGAGCTATCATATTTAAATGTTTCTGCCGTCTAAACCTGCCGTCTGTGTGACAGTGTGTTGTTCCTCGTGGGTTTGCTTTGCGACACTGTTTGGAATGCACCTCTGGCAGCCCCCGGGCCAGAGAGAAACCATTAGGAGAACTGTAAAGTTGATTGATGGCAGGGATCACAGGAAGTCTGGGGGTACCTCCGTCTTTGACTGCCAAGCTGTCATCTGCACCCTGGTGCTCTGTTGTTACCTGTTTCAGTGAGATTTCATCTTTGCTTTGTTTTAAACAGAATGAATGGGTTCTTCCATATTAAAGAAACCGTGCTCTGACTTGAAAAGTACTTCCATCCATCCATCCATTTTCTTTACCTGCTTATTCCATTTTGGGTCACGGGGGTCGCCGGTGCCCATGTCCAGCAATCACTGTGCGAGAGGCGGGGGACACCCTGGACAGGTCTCTAGTCCATCACAGGGACACACAGAGACAAACAACCATTCACTCTCTCTCTCACACCTAGAGACAATTTAGAGTTACCAATCAGTCTAACATGATGGGGGAGTGGTGGCGCAGAGGTTAGAGAAGGTGTGCCTGTGATCGGAAGATCGCCGGTTCAACTCCCTGGAGCAACAACATTAAATGTGGGTGGGAAAGGGGAAAGACCCACACCTGTCTCCACCCTCATTTGCCCCACTATGGGCCCTTGAGCGAGGCCCTTAACCCCCACCATCTGCTCCTCTGGGTGCTCTAGATGGCAGCTCTCTGCTCCACACACAGGGCTGTGGTAGCTTGGTGGACTGTGGTTTTGTCAGGAAAGACATCTAACGTAAAACCAATCGACAAGTCTTCGTGCAAGTTCCCTGTGGTGACCCCTGAAGAAGGGAGCAGCTGAAAGAAGAAGAAATTCAAACTAGCATGTATGTTTTTAGTCTGTTGGAGGAAATCGGTGTACCTGGAGAAAACCCCCACATTAACGGAGAGAACATGCAAACTCCACCCAGAAAGGTCTCCGGCCGGTATTTGAACCAGCAACCTGCTTGCTGAGAGGCGGCAGCTCTACCAACTGCACCACCGTGCCACACTATTCTTTTTAGCAGACAGCAACAAGAAATACAAATCATTATTTTCTGAAGAACTCACTAAAGCGTTTTATGAAAACAAAAAAATATAAATGTTGTTAGTAAAATTTAAACCACATTTAACTGAATTCCTCAAAGCCAGATAATGTAATCTGAGCTTTCTATATACTTTTTGTTGGACCCAGATTTGCTCTGCAGGTCTTGACCCAAGCTCCAACTGGAGCCGCAGAATAAATCAGTACACAGAAGAAGACGACGGCAATCTGTCAAAGTACAAAGTTGTAAAAACTGCTTTCTGCTCGACATATTATCAATTTATTATAAGCTGCCTTGTTTGTCAGCTGTTCCGCTCTGTGAAATACTGGGTCAACCAGAACCGTGCTTGTTTACTGGGACAAGCATGTAGTCTAATTTAATAACTCAGTCAAGTCGTGACTGTGGCTTAAATTAACTTTGCTCGAAACATACTGACAAAGTCCAGATTGCCTCATAAGATAAAACCAAACTGAAGAAATGTGATCTGCAGTACAACAGAAATTTTTATTATGATTCATACTTTTATATGACTCATGAGGTCTGTGGAGGCCAGCGCTTACCGTCTTTATATCAGCGAGCTGTGCATGGAAGTCTGTTGTTGTCAGTCCCCTGTAATGTTTCCACATGGATTTAAAGACTTCCTGTTCCCTGTGGTGTTCATATGTAGGTCACCTGTTGTCTCACCTTGTTTGTCCACAACTTTCAAGATGTAAACACACGTCGCCTTTAGCCTGTGGCCTTCTGATCAGACCAGACCAGAAACCTTTACCAACTGAACCAGACTGGATACGTTGGGTCATAGTTGAATATTTGGTTAACAAAGCAGGAGCACATATGTTTATTCTTCTATTGAGGCAGAAAATTTATAGGAAAACATAAGTGCAGCAAGTGTGTGTGTGTGTGTGCTTGTGTGTGTGTGTGTGCTTGCCTGTCATTTACAATGATGGAATAGAGTCATTATAATCCGTGGATTCTACCACTGTCACATTAAGGCAAATTGTCTGGGATAATGGAATTACATAAGAAGGACATGCTGGTGCTCAATTTATATCCGCCCTCCCTCGCCCGCCCGCCGTGCAGACAGCAAGCCCCCCCACGCAGAGG